TTTCTTTAAAATGGGAAAATGCTGAGGTACAAACACAGAGCAAAAATAAGGAAATGTGATCCAATCAAAGAACCAAACGAGGAAATAAACGTACATGTATGATGTAAGTGCAAACGAAAATAATTAGTATCGATTCAATATCGATCAATATCGCTCTGCATTTCTATGAACGTGCAATTTTCAAGTCATTAAGAATCAAAATTTTGACTTAAGTTTGTTCTCAATTTATGGTCTTGAGGCAAATAAAAGTTTTTAACCATGTACATATATAATGAAGAAAAAAAGAGAAATGATAGAAATGTTACATTATTTATTGTACAATAAACATATCTTAATACGGACTCATATATAATATATAAATTCCAGTTTAATTATAATGAAGACTACGTGTTGTTAAACTTAGAAGGAAGGACCCAGACAAAACTAAGGTTGAAAACATTACCTTTTGGTGTTCGAAATTTTACCCGGCTGTGAATTGGATTAATGAGGTTCAGGGGAGATAATTTTCTTACTCTTGTTTTTGTGAATGAAAAATCGCATCTTCAGTTTTTAAGAATAAGTTACAGGTGACCATTGAATAAACATATAAAAGCACTGCTTGGAATAATAAGATGCAATTAATTTTTTATCAACGGTACTAAAAGTTAAAGCACATTACAAGTATCATTTCTACTGATCTATATTCAGTAACAGATTTAGCAGGCAAATCTCTTGAATTTTGCCTTAACCTAAAAGAATTATTTACATTCATTGTATGAATTAAGAGCAAGAGGCATTTTTTTCTGCAAAACTTCAACTTCTTTATTTTCATAATATTTCAACGTCAACCGACGATCTATACTTTTTAAAAAAAAAATTCTTATCTTATTCAGATATTTGAATTTGTCTACTCAAAGCGAAATACTTGGATCTGCTCCTGATTTTAACCTATAATAATACACAATTTACATCTCTTCCTTCATCAATATTACCATTGCTTTCCTTGTATTCGATGATTCTCCACTCCGGGAGTATCTGGAATATCCTGACGCTTGAGAAGCAGAATCCGTTCTCCAACTGACAGGAAGTGAAGCTTCCGACATAGCAGACATGTTCAGTAAGCGTTTTTACCCAAGTTCATCATCCACTCAACACAAGCTTCAATCAAATAATTTCGAAACAAGATACATTCCAATTCTTAAAGAATCCATCAGCTCAGTGCGTTTTCAGCATCTTTGAGTTGTAAAGAAAATTCCATTTCACGAAATGCTATTATTCCTCTACCTCACTACGAGCGACAAAATAGGTTCATAGATTTAGGTTGATTTCAAACTTTAATCTTGCAAGATTATAGAAAAGTGTAAGGATTATTAAGATCCGATTTACGATTTGTGTTAGGACTGGAACATAAGTTTTCGTCATGACTCATGCGCAGTTAAAAATTTCTACGGATTAGCTGCAATGGGCTAAAATTATGTAAGATGCTCAATTGTAAAATAATCTCTTGAATCTTTCCGTAAATTAAAGGTTTTATTCCCTTGCCATAAATTGTTTTATAGACCTATCATTGCACAGGTTTTTCCACTGTGGCTTTTAATAAGTGTATATTGAGCTGGTTTTAAGGTACATGTATTTAGTGACTTTCATGGCATGAGCTTGAGTACACTACAAGTGCGCCGATTTTCTGTAGATTCTTTTTTGCCCCCAGAAATCCGCTTCGCGGTGATGGGACCCTGATTACGAGGTTTAAGTTCATATTTGGAGCATTTTTATAAAATATGTAAGATCGAGAATTAATAGGTAGTAATATTTAAAAAAAAAAAAGATCACTTGATATGTTGAGGGAAAAATTACTTGAAAATCAGTATCAAAGTACAAGGGGGTAATCTATACGTCAGGAGCCTGTGCATTGCGATCTTTTTTCAGATTGTCACATCATACTTTGTGGAATCGTATGAAAAGGATCCTATTCATTGTAGTGTAATGTGGCAAAAAGGAAAGGATCCACTCCGGTGCGATCCGATCTTGAGGGATATATATAAAATTGATATATTGCACTGAAAATAAGCGCCATATGCATGTAAACCATAACAGACCCGTTTTTGGTTTCCTTATGCCTTCGAAATGACCAAAAATCTACTAAAAAGAAACTATCAATAGCTTAAACACTACCCCCCCCCCCTTTTCGCTTAAAAATTCTCCGCCATCTTGAATTCTTCCTTTGTTACATTGCAAATACACGGAATGAATTCAACCGTTGAGTAGGGTCTGAAGGACTATATCATTTTGACAACAGAACATTCCATCTACACTGAAGTTACCTTCTATCTTAAATATCTGACAAATCAAATGTCTAAGGACCTGACCTACTACATATAAAAAAGTGAAAGAAAACAACATTTCGAATTTTTTTTTTTGTAATATCAGATAACATATACATAAATTTTCTTTAAAATTTGTAAAATATGCCACAATCTCATTAGTAATGATAAAATTCAGGCAAAATTGGACCATTTAATGCTTTCTTTAGTCTAGTCCCTCCTCAAGCCTCGATCCGTTTGTTTTTTTTTCTCCATCTCCACGACCATGCAGGAATCCGCCCTAAACCCACTCCAAGTCAGCCCTCAAACCCCCCTTTCTGTTACTGCGCCCCCCTTTCCGTTCTGAAATTTCTGAATCCGCCATAAATCAGGTGACCTATTGAGATCTGTATTTGTCTGTCGCCGTGCGTCGTTCGTAGTCTTTTGCACATATTCAGCTTCCCACAAACCACTGAACCACTTTCAACTAAAAATGGTATATAACATCTATGGGTAAAGTTGAACAACAATTGTGAATTTCTCTGCCCCCTGGGGCTTGAGAGGTGGGGTCAATTGTGAATTTCATTACCTCTGGGTCCAGTATGGTCACATGTTTAAAAAGTATTGTAGCTTTAAAAATCTTCTTCCTTAATCATATTCTGTTTGCATGATTCTACTGAGTAGCCAACCTTTTATAACAAAATTGTAAAAACATACCCCTGGGTCCATGGTTCAGATCCAAGAGTGGGGCTTAGTTAATCATATAATGAAAATCCATTTTATCTTTTAAAATCTTCTCTACACATGGATATTTAACAAGCAAACTGTTTACATTATTATAAAGAACATTTAGGTTTATAACACAATTGTGAAAATCATGCCCCCAGGTCCATTGTGAAGCATGCATTTTCACTGTATAAATTAAGGCCCCGGATCCTTACGATAGGACAATCGGTAGAGCGTCGCTCCGTGATCGGAGGTCGTGGGTTTAAAACTCGGCCGCGACTGACCTAAGTCGATTAAAAAAGGTAGCAATTGTTCCTTCGCCAAGCGCTCGGCAATTTGAAAAGTTGCGGGTCTTTCGGAAGAGACCTTCAAATCCAAGGCCCCGTGTCACGACAGGCGTTGGTACGATAAAAACCCCTCATTGCTCAATGACGTCTCTATATGAGCAAAATGTTCTCGAATAGGATGTAAAACAACATACAATCAATCAATCATTAGAACCCCGTTCAATGCAACCATGCTAATAGTTGACTGTTTGATGTTTACTCATGGAAGCCAAAATTGGTTGAAATTGGTTCAGCGGTTCAAGAGAAGAAACCGACACACGACGGACAACGGACGTCGACGGACATAAACAGATGACTCGTGACCTAAAAATAAAATTGTTCAAGTGCGGCGCCAGGTGGATTCGAATCATGACTCTTAAAATAAATACTTATCAATATTCATTGGTCCAACCATCTAATAAAGAGAAGGTATAAATATGGACTAGTTTGTCAAAAACAGGTTTTTTGCTATTTGTGCCAAGGCAGGGGTGCCATGACCCTAAAAATTCTACTTTAAATTTTCCCATAGATCACAAATTATCAAAATATCATAGTCTAGGAGCAGATCTGCCCTGCAGGACTTTTAGGTCAAAACTCGTGCAAAAATTGATGCATTAATGGAGAAATCGCTGTTTTAGCCATTTTTAAAGGTTAATTTTAAAACTGCAAATAATAAATTTTAGGCTCCAAATAAAAAATCGAAAAAAAAGACATATATACTATAGAAAATAACTATTGTACATTGATTTTAAAATATGACCTCTTTCGGGAAAATTATCTCTTCTCTTTTGAAATTCCGAATATATCCTTTAACCATGGGGGCCGAATTCTAAAACCCTTGTGGAGAACTCTGTTTAAAGTGTGATAAACTGGAAATACAGATAACAAGAACTAGTACTGCTTATAACGATTTTATTTTTAAATGCTAGAAAATTAACAGTAACAAGAATATCGGTATATCAACAGTCATAACAAAACTAAATGTGGAAATACTAAGTGGGCATCTTAGATTTACGCTAAAACACCCCAATACTGTCATATATGTTCTTCTTTTAAATAATCCAGGCCCAGTAAAGATCAATTTAGATAGTGACAACATTTCCTACATCGAAAAGCTTTTAACAAAACTCAAACCATCTACATGTATTTAGGTTATATTACCGGTATTCTACAGGTGAAAGGGGGGGGGGGGGGCAAACTATCACATTTAAACATTTCTCACTCCATTCTAAAGACAGGGATTTTCAAATAATTATCTTATCCATTTCTAATTATATTTTTTTCATGGGGGAAGACCATTGCCCATAGTTATATTGTATAGTTTTTGGTGTTATGGTACAGGAATTGTAAGGGAGAAGCAAAAAAAAAAAAAGAAAAACTAGTATACTACACATTATCTTTTTGAGCCTTTGGCTCAGATGAGCCAATAAATATTCAAAAAAACAAATTTAAATACTGTCCTCTGCAGTGTGAAACAAAATCAAAGAAAATGTATATTTTCAGTTGCTGCAGCAACCAAATTAAATAAAGCAAATGAAAATAACCTAAAGGCAAACAAGATTCTTTTTTCTTACAACTGAAGTAAAATAAGATAATATCCAAAAAATGTCCACCATCTTAATCTGATCGTATGGCACTTTGTTTTTTTTTTTGTTGTTGTTGTTTTTTTGTTGTTGTTGTTGTTTTTTTTTTTTGAAACGTAAGATACCTCTTTCCCTATCCTCTGGAATTTCTTTTGGGAAGTCCTAATTTTGGTCAATACTTAGTCTACTGAATCTAGTCCATCTTAATTATCCAGGTTTGCTCTGAGAAACGGGAGAAGATTGTTCCTGTTGTTGATCCGATTTGCTCTTGCTGTATGCTATAGGTAATACTGCATTGGGATTGACATAATCAGTTAGACCGCTCATGTTGAAGCCACTGGCCATTGCTCCATTACCGTAAAAGTGGAACAGCATCTGGCTGTCCATGTAGATGCTTTCTCGTTCCATCTGCTGTTTGTTAGGGGTGGTGGGAGTATAGTAGGGAGTGGCCATGTATCCATCACAAGCACCATACACACGGCATGAAGGATCGTACTCACCATACAATAGCTGAGAGGAGAGCTGATGATAAGGGTATCCAGAATATGTGGCATGGTCTTGATAAAAAAAAAAAATAGGCACTCAATTATTGTGCAATCAATTCGTGTAAATTCACAAGATTAACATGACATGAAGTTATTAGATACTTAGCTCTTCTGAGCCAAAGGCTCAAAGAGCTAATGCTATGGCCATTTGTGCGGTCTGCGGTGTGCGTAAACTTTTTAGATTATGGGCCATAACTCAAAAACCCCTTGGCCAATTGGTCAGAATTCTTTTTAATATGTTACAACAGGCTAATTAAGGGAATTCATATTCCCTGCTTAAGGACAATGGGGGATGACCTAACAATTCAGTTGGAGAACAAAAGAAGGATTGACTTGACCTTTTACCTTTTGATTTTAAAATCGGTAGGAGTATTTCTTCAGTTATAGAGCTTCATCACTTTAAGTTTCATTCCTAAAGCTCAGAGATAGCTAAAATTAACACCTTTAAACTAATAATTTTTATGCAATACCAGTATATAAATTTCTGACCATGGCCTTTGACCTTTTCACCTCAAAACCAATTGGGGTCTTCTTAAAATCATAGGAAGTTACATGTATGATACAAAATCTCATAGCAAAAGCTCAAAGAGACTAAAGTTATAATCTGGAAACAACTCTGTATACAATATCAGATTTTTTTTAACCTTGACCTTTGACCTTAAAATCAGAGGTCTTCTTTTAATCATAGGGAATTATCATATGAAATAACACTGTAACATTGCAAAAGCTAAAAGTGAATACTGGTTACCTTTTTATGCAATATATGAAATTTTGATGTTGACTTTTGACTTTAAAATCAATAGGGTCTTCCTTGGGTTATAGGAGTTAGGAAATGAAATTTTATATAAAAAAAAAAAAATAATAATAAAAAATGTTGCAAAAGCTGAAGGACTTTTTAGATATTGTCCAGAACCTTTAAAAATTGTCACACCAAGACAAAATGACAGACAGACAGGTGGAAAGATAGACAGACAAACCCAAAATACATGTTATATTATCTCTGCTTTAAGTGAAAGCACTGGGGGGAAAATAAAATTCAGATTTTTAATTTCTGAACCTTCTGGGTTTTTTTTTCATTCTTAAGTATGGTAAATCAAAAATAATTGCATTTGTTGCAATTTATATTGATAATATTAATTCCGGAATAGTGAAAGGAAACGTAACTTTTTGATATTTACCTAACCCAGAGAAGGCATTTTCTTTCTTTGTGACTTTGAGGGCCTCAATAGAGGGCAGTACAGCTTGAGGTTTCTGGACTTGACTGTATTCTTCTGTTCCCGACTGGATTCTGATTCTCTTTACTGGAAACTGGCTTCCATTTCCATCCACCAAATCTACGAAAACAATATTATTAGAATTTGACACATATAAAGAAAAGAAAAGCATAATGAATTCTTAAAATACTTGTATTTATAAAGGAAACCAAAATTTTTACCTCTTTTAAAGCCAGTCTGTTTAGAGCTTTCCTCATTGCTCAATTGTCTATGAAATTAAAAAAAGTATCCATCTTGAATTTTATATTTATATTTGTCAAATTTCCATTTCGTATTATAAACACAACAGATTTTGGGGTACTCTATATTATCTTGTCTGAGACCTACTCTGTATCTATGGATGATGTCACTAAGTTGGACTCTCCCGGGGACATTGGTAGCCTGGCAGATTTTCCTCCTTTTTCACATCTCTTCCCATTTCTACCTGCCCCCTCCATTAAAGGACCTTTTGTCATCAGTTCAGCTATCTAACCACAAAGCAGAAATACTGGCCCATTACTTAGCATACAAATCCATTTCACATACCAACATCAGTATCATATAATCCTGGGATGGGGTGTGAAAATGAAAGCAATGTCTGAGCACCATTTCTTTAGAATGCTTTTGAATATTAAGTGCATTATATAGTTCTGAAGTCCTTTCTTGAGCTATTACTACCTGATTTTGAAATTCCTGAGGCAGTGACTCATTAACAAGTTTTAAGTACTCTACACACATTTCCAGTATGGAAGCCATGTCCGTTTTGCGGCCCCTGACATAGGGTAGCAAAACTCTCAACTGGTCACAGCTATCCTTGATTCGTTCTCTACATATAGAATTGAAATTAAAAATATCACGATTCCTCATTGATATGTTTTAAATGAAAAAACTTATGAATTCCTACTGAAGAGTATAAAATTTTCTAAATGTTTATTTTGTTTACCTTCGAACTTTCTCCTTTGTTGTGTGGTCAATAGCACTACTGTGCCTGGGAACTTTGTTTTGTCTTAGTTTGGGTACCATGGCCTTAAGTTGAGAAAATGATGGCAGTTGCACTGTGCACTTGTTTAAAGCCTGGTTAAAAGCAGGAGATTCTATTCCACTGTCCAGTGATATTCTACCAAATGTAAAATAAAAATGGAATTAATAGCCGTCTGCTGTTTTTAGTACATGCACACTGTTGAAATATGCTATGTCAATTTCATCTTTGAAATGAATTACTTCCTATAGAAACAATAATTCAATGCCCAATCTGCATCATTCATGTACATTTTGGATGCATCTACTTTTATCACTAGTATTTCTTACGCCACACTAGATCTGTCCCCACTTTCGGAGGCAGGTGTAGATGGTGTAGCTGGCGTTGCGGGGGTTGAGGGAGTTGTTGGCTCTGAAAATTCAGCAGCTTCACAATCTTGTGCTTCTCTTTTCTCTACTAAAGAAAAATATGGCCTTTTTTAAAAAAAAAATCCCTTTTTTTCTCTCTCTCTTTTGTGTGTACCGGTATGTGTGTGTGTGTGGGGGGGGGGGGGGGGGTTCGATTTGCAATTCTTTTTCAATTCTTAGTTCCAAAATGGTGTTTAAAAATCAACTTGTCACCATGTTTAAAGTTTGCTGTCAATTCTTTTAAGGGACAAATTACTTTTCCGCAAATTTTGAAACTTTTCATTTTTACATAAACATTTCTGCAAAAAGTATTGTTACGTTTCTGCAAATTAATATATACCCCGGTAGCTACATGTATCACTTACCTAAGCATTATGTTTTCCGCAATTTACCTGTAGTTTTGAATCACACCTTTTGTCTTGTTTCCCAATCTCAATTCTAAATGTTCTAGTTTAGTATTTTATTAGTGTGTTAGCAAATTGCAATGAAATTGTTTTCACCAAATGTATTTGAGTTCATGAGTGTATGTATTGTAGTGCAAAAACTTCAAATAACAACGTGCTTCAAATTCATCCTTGAGAGCACCAGCAACATTGACATATTTAAGAGATGAATTTATTTTTTGAGAATTCATGAGGACATGAACTACGACGCATCACGCCTGCATATTTCATGAAGCGCGTTAATATGCAGGCTGAAGCGTTGTAGTTCATGTATCTCATGAATTCTCAAAAATTAAATTCAAATCTTATATTTACATTATTTTTCTGATTACTTGCCACATATTTTTGTCATTCAACGATCATTTTTGAAAAAAGTTTGCACTATTTTTTTTACTTCAATCACATCACAATAGACATAATATATTCTTACTCATCCCACGGTAGTTCATGAGAACATTAACTTTTTCTAATTTGCTAAGAATCTTAAGGAAAAATATTTGGAAATGTAAATATTATTCACTATCATACTTTCCTACGTACATTTTTTATGCAGTACCAACATATAATTTAATTCATATACATTTTAACCTGGTTGTGCCTGTGATCCAGGTAACATTTTGCGAAATAGTAATATAATATTTTTGCGGAATCGCAAAAAAAAATTAATAATAAAAATTGCAGAATCGTAACTTTATTTTTGCGAAAAGGTAACATCAATTTGTGGACTTTTAGGTACAAACCTGTAGTGATTGGCGTTGATGTCCAGTTTGTGTATTTCTCACGCACATCTTTGCTGGTCACTGGATGTAGAATTATTTCATCGATTCCATGTAATCTCAAATCAACTAGAAATCATGAAAATTAGATTTGTCATCAGAATATTGCTACTAAAACTGAAGATTATGCAAAAGCTAGCAGAAGCAGCATCTTTGGTGGAAAAAAATTTAAAAGAAGGGGAGGGGGGATGTTGACCGACATACCAACTGCTGAGCCGTCAGAAACACCAATGATGACTGTTCCTCTGTTGCAACTACTTGCATACCTGTTAGAAAAATTAAATGTGTAGTAAAAAACTTTAATCAATCTCCATAATTAATTAAATACGTGTACATGTAATTTAAGAATTGTCACAAGAAAATACAGCCAATCACATCTACTCCGGCGGAAAAATACCAAGAGACATACCAAAAATCAGCTCGTTATATCTACAAGCATAGCAAAACAACTGATTGTAACAATTCGATATTCATAGGCAAATACACAGCTCAAGTTAATGCTTCCTTAAAAATTTTTTGCCGCAGAATTAGAGCACAACATCTGATCGAAACACTTCGATGTTCAATTGGCAATACACCGCTTAAATTAATGCTTCCTTGAAAATATTGCAGTTTGGCGATTTTTGCCTTGAACCCACCTCGTCATTTGATTGATTGCGAGTCCTGTTCGTTTCAGTAATTTCATAAATTATTTCCAGTTTTTAAAGTTCATGGAGATATGAATTGATAGTTCTCAGCTATACCATAGGCATAGTTTACCCTTCTTGAAAAATATGTCGGCGAGGGAAAATACTGGGTCACTCATGGACTTTTAAAATCAGAGATATATTAATACTTGTATTCAAATTATTCATGTTTTCTTCCTAACAAATAGAAATTAACAAACTGTCTTTGAAAAATTCCTTCATTCTAACTTAGTTAGTATTGTTGTTTGCTAATTATTGAATTATTAGAAATTCAATAATGATTGTCGTGTACTTATTATTTGAATTTCTAATAATTCAATAATTAGCAAACGACAGTATCATCCGACTTCTCGACTGTTCGTCCAAAGGAATCTGTAAGAGAATTCACATTTTCTGTTAATATTGCATTCTAAACCGTAACCGTATGCCTACCGGATGGAAGTGGTCAGGCTGAGAACTTCTTGGGTCACAGGCATGTCAATGAGCACCCAGATCAGGAGGTAACACTGCACGTTACAAGCTTCAAACGCCTCCTCCAGACGACATAACCTCACCTCGTGGGCCACCGTCTGGTTGGAGATTATGTCCTTTAGGTTTTCTGCCTGCGGTCCCTCCCCAACCACCAGTGAAACCAAGCCCATTCCAGGGGTCTGAAATAAAATATAGCAATGATGTTTTTTTTTTTCAATTTTAGGAAAAAACTAAGAGAAGCCCAGATTCTGTCCACTTGCCAGCAACAGCACGTATGGACAAAATCCAAAACTCGCCTGAGGACGAACACCTGGACTGCATTTTAATGGAGGTCAGATCGTACCATAAAACTTAACAAGCTTAGAATCACTGCATGATTTAAAGCAGGGTAATTGTATCGAAAATAAGAAAGGATAGGTTGGCTGGGGTAGATGTATAAGGGAGAGGTAATGGGGAAAGGGTGTCCACTTAAAACCTCTGATAGTTATCTCGACACCCGTGTACAAATTATGAATGCATAGCTTTTCATCCAAACACCTACCAAATCTGAAAGTTCTTCAATAGGGAAAGCCGAATCGTCCGGTTGGTTATCATTATATATTGAGATGTCATCGAATCCGAGGAAGGCTTCATGGCCAATACTGAGGTCTACATCGTCACCATTATTATTGCCACTCACATTGTCAAGAGACGATGATGACACAATTTCATCCGTTTCTTTGTCTTTCCCCTTCTCAGGACCTGATACGTCCAGTTTATTTTCCGTCTTTGCGGCTTTGGACCTTCCTTTACGCTCATTTCTGCGTTTGCCTTTTGCCACAGGTTTCATTTTTTTACTCTCAGCTTTATGTTATCGATTATGTCCTAATACTGTCATGGCTATTCAATATCGACCAAGGTCAGCTATTTGTATTTTATACAAAAACACCCCCGTTGGAACCTCATCGTTCATTGATTGGACAGCGCTTGACACTCGTGTCCTGAATGTATTCGAAAGGTTATTCCGCTGTGTGAATATCAGTCCACCCGACATTTAACCTGTTAACAGTATAACTTGTAGCGGTGTCACACATGTTACAAGATGACCTTTATATTACAGATTTTTTTAAACAGGACCTGTTAAAGATGAAAATGCTTGTTACCAAAATGTTAAAAAACAAAACAAAACTATAAGCATCATATTACCAAGTTTGTATTTCCATTAAATCTTTGAATATTTGAAGATCTCGGAAACGAGATTCCTATAAATATTTAAGGAGGGGGGGGGGGGGAGGGGGTATGTACCAGTCGGAGCCGATATTGCATTCCTTATTTAAATGTTTTCCCTAGAAAATAATAATAAAAAACAATATTTGAAATACCATTAACCCAATACTTTTATCACATTTTTCTTTATCTTCAATGTTACAGAGGTGTACGCTTTATTTATTACTTTGACCAAGACCAGTCTAGTTACACGTATATTGGACTTTACACCATGGCCTTTGCATCCCTGGAGTCAATTTCTACTGGAGTCACTTTCTACTGGAGTCACTTCCGACATACTATAATTAACTGCAATATGTGATAGGTGTGGATACAGAAATAATCAGCACCGTTTACAAAGTAAAAGACTACTTCCGTTTTTCGTTAGGAGGAGGGGATAGAGGGATGGGTACACAAGATACGACTTACCCTGTATTTGTTAGGTTTCTTTGGCAGAAGTTTACGTTTCATCTCGATAATGAATGGGTAGTTGACAAGCAGACTCTGAACAACATTCAGAATCTCTTCCCCAGGTTTGAAGTCTGAGCTACAATATATAGGCGGATCAAACAATGTCGAAAAGTTTCAGGACACTAAAAAATATATGAGAAGATCCCTATTGGTGATTTTCTTCACTATCATTATTATATATCTTGTTCAATTGTTTTGTAAAATTTGTGAATAACCGTTCCTGTTCTAGTATTATGAACGTATTATACAGTTATATTATTTTGTTTTTCAAGTAAAAAAAAATCTTTATATTTGACAAAAATTAAAATATTTGCTGTTAAACTTTTATGCTATTTTAAAAAAGATACCAACAAAATGGTTCCATGAGAAAAATGTTATATAGTAGCCCAACACTGAAGGACAATTTCAGAAATTGAGAAGTGTCCAGAAGTGATCGAAAATACTTCTTAAAGTACACGACATCAAGAAAATCCTTTTTTGGTATGTTATGTTTTAATTATTTTTCTTACTTCTTTCTACATTCAGCTGTATTTAATTACAGTATTTCTGTTAGATGTATAAAACTCCACTAACCTTGGTTTCTTTCGCCTTTGCACGGGTAATGCGAAATCCATCGTGCGTACTGCTGTCAAATGTCGTACAAAAAGAAAACGAGGGTCGCTATTCATTCACAACATTATTAGAAGAAAGTTTTCTTTCAAAAATGTTTCATTGACTTGTCTTAACTCTCAATGATCTTGGTTCACGTGAAAACATGTCCAGGCATGCTGATCGCGATTCAGAGTATGGGAATTCCTTGGAACACCCCTGTTCTATTTATAGCCAGAGAACTTTTCATTTGCACGGAATTCGTGTAAGCCCTATAGGTAAGTATTTTCCCTTTAATTATTGAACTTCGTTTTTCAAATGAGAACGTGTCACTTAAACAAATTTCACTACCTTTGTATCATACATACAAGATAATAATTTGATGAATTTAACACTTTATTCAAAATTACGTTTAAATTCCCATAAATTTGACATTAAATATCAAATTTTAATTTGTAAACTCTCTGTAAAATAGAAATAAAGAAAAATACATAAATTTAGCATTGTCTTATTTGAAAAGTATTTCATAGTACATTAAAAAAGAAGAGAGCAGTCTAACAGAGATCCATCGATACTTGGAATGATTTTTTTTTTTTAATTCAAGAAACGAGTCACCATTTTGAACATTGAATGTATGCATAATAGAACATAATTTTTATCAACTTTTGTGAGAGTAATTTTTTTATCAAGATTATCCAGGGAGTTTGACCGGGGAAGCAAACACAGGTGTAACGCTGGCTAGCGGGGATATCGGGGGTGAGGTCCACGAATGACTGAGATTCCTCCGAACGGACGGAGACCCCGGGGCACTTCTTGTCAGTCGAAGGGGGGTCTTGATCGGTGTGGAGGTCCTATTCATACTGCTTCTGAAAGTAAGTTTATAAAATTTGATAGAACACTACTGAATCGTTTGAATTGAAATAGAGGAAATATTTAAGTTATGAAAGTTTACAATTAATGTAAAATCAATATTTAAGGATGTACAACACACCCACCCCCCAAAAAATTCCTGTCGTTTAATTTTCGTTATTTTTGTATATTTCATACATGACTATATCTACTACATGTATGTGTATGCACATTTTGGACAAAATCGTTCGAGTCTTATTTGGACAGGAAGTTCCAAAAGTTACCCCCCTTTAGCTGTTCACGAGGAGAAGAAATTTTCAATCAACCAACTATAAAATCCTTGATTTTCAAAAAAGTCGGGATAGCCTGGTCGTTTAACTTCAACAACTAATTCGTTTGACCATGTAACACACAAATAAAGTAATTTTGTAGAAGTATATATATATCGACACAAATTTTTTTGAAGACCTTAAACTGAAAAACTATGGTTCATCATAGCCCTAAAAAATGCGTATTTTTCAATTTAAATATATTTTTTTTAATGAAAAAACTTATCGTTTAATTTTGGAAAAAATACTTTCTTTATGTAGCGGGTCAGCGGGTTGAAAAAATAATCTTCATAATTTTTTAATTTTTTTTAAACGACCCGTTTTGAATTTATAGTGGAAAATCACCCCCTCCGTCTTTCTCCCTAAATCACGTTTCTCAAGCGTCTTTCAGACTTGGGACAATAAAATGCTATGAATCTACAAATACACATAAAAAATTCCAAGTTGGAAAATATTTTTTGCTTTAAAAATGATATAAATTACATTTTATTTTATCAGCGTTTTCAAATGTAAATCGCAATTAAATGTAGATTTATAGGCAATTTTTTACTACGACCCCCCCCCCCCCTAATTTTTATTTGTGAATAGACTATTCGAGGTTGATGAAACATCGCAAACATTGCAGATATATTTAGTCCACTGAATTCCTGAAGTACTAATTTGTTTGTTCGTATATGCATATTTTAAAAGTATTGACTACTAAAATATAAAATGTTTTGATTTAAGTAAAACTTACTTAAGATTTTATGCCATCGTGTCCGGTATGTACATAGTTCATATATCATACTGACATTGAAATTTACTTTCACTTTATCAATTTTAATTTTATTTTTTGTTAAAAGTGAACTCATAATGGCATACTTCCGTTGCTTCTATAGATAAAATGAAAATTTCGTTTTCGTCCACATTATCTTCAATGTATCAAACTTTAAATTCTTCATTTATTTTAAAATGATTCATGTGTATAGTGATATAAAACGTTTTGTTTTGATTCGAGAAAATGCGAACCGACACTGTTCACAGCGACAGAAGGTCGGACAGTTTGCTGCAGTGAGATATTCATGAATTCAAATAATTCCTGTAAACAATTCCTTTTCACTTTCGATACTTACTTTGTATATATTATAGTACTCAGTTCTCGAGTTCACCAGGCCAGTCTGAATGTAAATGTATCTGTGTATTCGTGAAAAAAAAACATAATTGTTCGGAAAACAGGAGGAATAACTCAACTAAAGGGAGGGAAAACAAACATATCCCACATTTTTAGAGTTGTTCCTCTTAGACCAGTGAGCTTCTGAAAACGGTATCGATAATTGCATTGAATTTTTTTTCCCTTTTTTTTTAATTTGTTTGTTTGTTTTTTATATAAAGAAGAATAAAACAATATTTATTTGGTGAATGCATAATTACAATAGACCTGTAATTGGAATGTTATGTAGCCAACTGTAACGGATAAAAACCCCAATGTAACATATAAAATTTTCAGATGAGAAATAAAATGCTGTGCTTTGATCACGGATACGATTTACATATGAAATTAAAGAAATTTAAGGGGTAATCTTTCATTCTTTCGTTTCTTCCTTTTCATGGAGGGGAGGGGTTTAATCAAAGAAAATAATCAATGATAGAATTTGGTACTCATAAAGAAATCACAATCATGCCCCTAATCCCATATTTTCTGTTTCTACTTAATACATCGGGATCGTATCGCTCGTCATTTTGACGCTTTATTATTAACGTCAAATTTAACGTCACGTTAAACGTTTAATTGAAATTGCAAGAGTTATCTCCCCCACTGTGTTGTACGTCTTTAAAACTATGAGATATTTGAAATTATATATCAAATACATATACTATATAATATATAATACTATTAATATTTTGAATTTTCGAATTTTAAATTAAATGGACATTCTGCTATGAGAAATAACTCTATTATAGATGGTTCACCTGTTCTTTATAACGATTCCATATTTACTAAGGATTTGTCGCAAATTTTGAATGTTTAGTAAATTGAAAAGTGTATTTGTTTTAAATTCATTTAATCTTTATCCTCTGTAAGAAAAAAATTCGCCACTAAAAAACAATCATCATAGTTAGCGGAGGTCATTCTCCCATCACTGCTTTTTCAATGATTGCAGAAAGATGTATTTTAGCCATAGGAATGTTTCAGAGACAGGGAATTAATTAGAGCTGTATATGGCAGAAATATGAATTAATTGTATATTTTTGAAAAATCATCTTGCTACAAAAGAAATACATGAGTTTTTCCTTTGGGGTTGATGTTATTGATGTGGTGGTGAACTTCATTTACTAGTTGCTACTGATAACGCCGGGTTTACTGAATTGTCGGTGAATCAACTGTTACTTATGTTAAGGGCAGGATTTACTGGTGTGAAGTGATTTACATACTAGTATTTACTATTACTAACATTAAGAACATGTTTATTGATATGAGGTAAATTAACTGTTACTTATGTTAAGGACAGGGATTACTGGTGTGAGGATGACTTCTCTCTAACTTTAGAACAGGTTCACCGATATGACGGTAAACCGTTACTTATGTTAAGGACAGGGATTACTGGTGTGAGGATGACTTCTCTCTAACTTTAGAACAGGTTCACCGATATGACGGTGAATTAACTGTTACTTATGTTAAGGACAGGGTTTACTGGTGTGAGGATGACTTCTCTCTAACTTTAAAACAGGTTCACCGATATGACGGTGAATTAACTGTTACTTATGTTAAGGACAGGGATTACTGGTGTGAGGATGACTTCTCTCTAACTTTAGAACAGGTTCACCGATATGACGGTGAATTAACTGTTACTTATGTTAAGGACAGGGTTTACTGGTGTGAGGATGACTTCTCTCTAACTTTAAAACAGGTTCACCGATATGACGGTGAATTAACTGTTACTTATGTTAAGGACAGGGATTACTGGTGTGAGGATGACTTCTCTCTAACTTTAGAACAGGTTCACCGATATGACGGTGAATTAACTGTTACTTATGTTAAGGACAGGGTTTACTGGTGTGAGGTTGACTTTTCTGTAACTTTAGGACAGGTTTACCGATATGACGGTAACTCAGCTGTTTCTTATTTTATGGACAGGGTTTACCGGTGTGAGGATGACTTATCTGTAACTTTAGGACAGGTTTACCGATATGACGTTGACTCAGCTGTTACTTAGGTTAAGGATAGGGTTCACTATTGTGAGGATGACTTAATATCTGTAACTTTAGGACAGGTTCACCGATATGACGGAGACTCAGCTGTTACTTAGGTTAAGGACAGGGTTCACTCTTGTGAGGATGACTTAATATCTGTAACTTTAGGACAGGTTCATCGATATGAAGGTAACTCGGCTGTTACTTACGTTATGCACAGTGTTTACTGTTGTGAGGATGACTTATCTGTAACTTTAGGATAGGTTCACCGATATGACGGTGACTCAGCTGTTACTTATATCAAGGACAGGGTTTACCGGTGTGACAGTGACTTACCTGTTACTAACGTTAAGACTAGGTTTAGTGACAGGGCTATGGACAGGTTTAGTGACAGGGCTATGACTGGAGGCGTTGTAGATTTCCTCCTCAGAGCTGGTGTCTGAGCTGCTTATGGAGTAATTGTTCGTTTCATCCGTTCTTTCAGCGTGAATACAAAATAAAAAGTAAAAACATTGATTAGACTCAGAAATATTTTGTAATAGAAATTATATATATTTACATTGGATGTATATTTGTACTGACTAAACAACTCACAATACTATATACTTCTTGCCGGTTTTTGGGTCGTGCATTCGAGAAAACGTAGAATATCGTTCTTTGTAACTCTCCGGTGGACAGTTAAAATTCAGGTCAAGGGCTTTTCTACTGCCATCATGTTTTCTAAAAAAAAAATTTGTTCAATGCAGGCACCTAAAATCGTTTTTGAAAGTTAACAGGCAGATAAAAAAATATTTCACTAAAAAGACATTGACAGGCAAAGAAAAAGAAAAAAATTCAATGAACATTTTCGGCAGAAAAAAGTTCTGTATGAAAAGGGGGGAGTGGCTGATACTACATGTACATGCCTGCAATGTCGATGGACTTGCACAGTTGAATAGAAAAAATTGTCACCACCAAAATTTATTACATTTAGTTTATTACCTTGATTTAAGTATACTGCGACAAAAGTTTTTTTTTTGGGGGGGGGGGTCAATGAACAACAGGAAAAAAGTTATGTTTGGAAATAAGGGAGAGGCACACACACACCGGTATTACCTGCAAGCAATGTCTATGGACTTGCACTGTTGAGTAGAAAAATGGGTATATTACTAAATACTAACCGCCTGAAGGTTCGGTACAATACTGCCACGAAGTAACACATAGCAAAACAGAAGGCAGCAACCCCACATCCGATCACAAGCCCCGCCCAAAACGCTTGGTCTGAAACAAATTTTGATAAAGTTATAAAATTTGCAAAATTACTAAAATATCTCATGAAAAGATTTTGATTTATTTTGACCCTACATTTATAAAATATTTCTTATTTCATGATTCTACAAACATGTACACGTAACATGAAAGCTGTTTGCAGGAAGTTTTTTAATTAATTTCATTATAATTAAAGTCTAAATTACACGTAAAACTATTACATGGCCGTAGAACCGGGGGCGTAAACGCGACATGCTACAACAGTTTAAGAAAAAAGACAAAGAACAACTCGATAATTATAAAAGGTAAAAGAACGTAAATATAAGTATTGTATGATTATTTTAGCACGACATTCCAACGCAAGAATGCATACAACTTTCACAACGCACTCATACACAGTACTCAATTGCATGCACATCCCATTATCGGGGTTACACTAACTTTTTAAGGCTTTAGTCCGGCCAGACTAGTGCTTCTTTACTTTTACTAGTCCGCACGCGAAGTGCAATGAATAAATACATGAAGTTAATATATACCCTCCATAATATCACGTGGTTTGTCTTTAGTTGTTGTCTTCTGTTGCATCTCAGAATGCTTTGGTGCGTCTTTCGGGATGGTTGATATATTAGCCAGAACTCTAAGCTTGTCTACGAGTGCAGACAGGTCAGCTAAGCTATCCTCGCGTGTTGAAGGGGTCTTATTTTTAAGAATCTGCTTTTCTATTTTCCTTTTGTCATTTGCAATATCATCATCCTTGGTGGCTGCTGCGGTTGGTTCAGTCTTTATAATTGGCTTTGGAACTTGGCCGTAATGAAATGGACCTAAAATATAGATAATAATCCTATGTGTTAAAAAAGAATACGACACAATAATTTTCCTGATATATTTACAACATGGATTTAGAGGAAAAATATCACAGTAACTCAAGTCAACCTGTTCTAGGATCATGCTTTCCAAGTCGTATTTTCTCACGCTCTTTAGTAAGTAGGTGTCTTATGTGGTTTACAAGCTTCTGATGTTCAGCTTGTCGCAATGTCTGTTGAATCTCCGTTGTTTGTTGTTTCCGATGCGGAGGCATTTTGACAATGACGGGTACATTTTGTATCTTGTGTGTTGGAAATAACGGAACACTTTTCAAATTGGATTTTTCTTGTTTATTTACTCTCACCTTTTCCTCTTGTCTGCTTTTTGTGTTTTCTTTTTCATTATTTTTTACCAATGATTTTTTGACATCCCGGATAAGGTTCAAGATTTTAGCGTATTCCCTTTCCTTGTTGAAGGGTGTCGATTTACTGGGGGCTAAAGATCCTTTGGTTTGGTTTGTGCTGGATGATCGGGTTGTGAACCAGGTTTCAGCTGGTTCGTAGGGGTCAGCGAGAACCTTTTCACAGTCTGAAAGGAAAGTTTTAAGAATCAAACTTTACGGACCGAAAGAAGAAATTAACCTGTCAAAAGTGTAACATCACCTATACCCTCTTCCATCGATATGTAATTTAACCTTGTCGGGGAAAAAAATTGATCAAGTAAAATTCATTAATGACACATGTATTTAAACACACCATCAATTCAGATGAGAATATACTTATTCATTTCTATAGCAAATAAAAGTTTTGAAAAAGTCCTTTAAATATATACATATTGTACACAGCGATACACTTAAAAATACACTGTTCATGTATCCAGGGGAACAATGTGTTTATGATGCGACTAAAGTGTCTTCAAAGAAGATGAGCGAACAAGACGTGCAGAATGCCTGTAGCTTGAACTAGCTTCAGATCTATAAAAAATCCTATTTAATTTGTGAACTTAGCATTTAGGGTAAAGTTCTCATTATTGAAATTTATGAAATTATGACAAAGAAAAAATTTCTGCGGAAAATTTTCTCGACAAAAATTATTCTATTGTGAAATAAATTATGTGGTGTTCTTCGGGTTGGAACCCTCAGCAATAAAAAAATCCTGAGTATCATTTTCCTTTGAGACTTACATGCTAACCACTACGCTAAACAACTCCTGACAAAACATGACATTTAAATCATGTTTTTGATATGACCCTTGACTAAATGGACTTCAAGTATTTCTCGGAAATATACGAATGCTGTGTCATGAAAGCATTTATAAAGTATATTAGGTCTTTGTTCCATGTTTTTGTTTAAAAAAAAGACCCATATATTTTTACGCATACTTCGAAGATAAACTTTCAACAACAAAGAAAAATCCCACTCTGACTCATATGGAAAAATTGTGTTCTGAGAAAACATTAACTCAATTTTTGTGAGATTTTGGCAAGTTATGGAGATTTTATATAAAGTAAACTTAAATGTTAGATTAAATATCAAAGAAATAATATTTTAATTGAGATTCGATTTTTCATCTTCATATTTGTCGCACGTACCATAGGCATTTCACTCGCCTTGTTCGGCCATCTTCTTTGTTGAAATACTGACAATACCCCTGAACGTTCAGTAATATTATAATATGAAAGTAGATTAAGACAATAATCTAATAGGTCAAACTTGGTCCATTTCTAAATTTAAGAAATTAATTGCTTAACACGTTACTAAATAACATAAAGTATCAAATGTATTTTTGCATCCATCTACGTGTCAATTTTAAATTATGTCTTCTTAATGTGTGGCAACATGGGTATTCATTCATTCATTCAATTTATGCACTATCTGAAAAAAATGAATGAATAAATAAAATAATGAAGTCATTCTAAAAACTCTAGTCATGCAGGCTGTCATCTCATTGGAGATCCGAAAAGGTAAAAGAGCAATAACTCGTATATGCATGTGACCCACAAGCACTTTTTTTAAACCCATAGTATAAAAATAACATTAGGTACCCTCCCCAGAATCGCAGTCATGTACACTTTCACAGAAAATGCACTGGCAAATTGTTTATTACCACTGTACAGAAATTTAACTACAAAACCATACATGTAAATGACATGCTTGTCTTTGTTTTTGTTTTTTTATTTCCGTATTTAAGAAAAAATGAAAAAAAAATATGAAGTGGTATATACTTACACATGTATCTCGGACAGAGAGCAAAATTTAAAAATCAGTGGATTTATATTTAAATATTGCAGTGAATAACTAAAATTGGCTTATATTTTATTTTCCCTAAAAAAATGATTACGATATTTTTTTTGATGGAATTTTAGACACTGTCTTTAGCCAGTCGAAATCCAAGAAATGGTGTGAGACAAATTTTCCAATCGGCGAGCAGAGGTTTGACGCTGTTTACGTCCAAATAAAAAAAAAAACAAGCATGCCATACACATGTATGGTTTTGTAGATAACCATTAACGTTACCTCGTAGAAGATAATGGTAATAAACAGTTCGCAAGTGCATTTTCTCTGTCAGTGTAAATAACTGCGATTCTGGGGAGGGGGTACTACATGTACTCCATTTGGAGTTAAATACCTTGTGTTAGTTAAAAAAATTATTACAGAAATAAGTGCCTGTGATGTGATTGGATTGAAAAGTATGTGATGTCTGACATATTATGACACATTTCGGCCCCCTTATGCAAATCATTTTCTTGAATTTCTTCAGATTGCGTGTACGTGCAAAAGAATCACATCATGAACAGTGCAGGGTATATAAACTCTAACATACAACACAGCATTGTAAAATAAAAGGACAAATTTATGCCCCAAACCATGTGACTTTCTATTTGCAGAAAGATGCAACTATCTGAATTATGTGGATATGCAAGGTGATAAGTCAAGATAGATGTAAGGGTTGTCATCTCTGTATGGAATGCCTACCTTCGTATTCTCTTTAGAGAAGTGGACAGGCTTTAGCCTGAAATATTTTGTCTCTCGGTTGATTCGATATGCAAGAACATGCTCTACGTATGAACAATTTCTAAAACGAGGCAAGCTGTTGACAAACAAGTTGACGATACAAGGATATCAACAGTCTCGTTTGAAGTCATCTTTTCGCAAGTTTTTCGGTCGATACAATGACCTTGCCAGCACATACAACCTATCATTGAGTCAAATGCTGACTGACGTTTTTCATTGCAGCCCGGAGGACCGGGCTGCTCTATACATATAAGTTTAAGTGTTGGTATATGGGGATTAAGGTAGGAGAAGTTATTCAGAATTAAAGGTTTTCTAAACATTAAAATATTGTTGATCAGAATGTTCTTTCCCTTTATAAATTACGAGATACACAATATATTTACTTCCATAAAGTGAATCTGTAAAAATATATATGTTTTTCATATTTAATATATAAAGTTGCTTATCATTTACTATCGAAAAAACAACAGGTCCCTTTTTTTAGAACATCGAATTTTACTTATCGCATAAAAACGTAAAAATGTACTTTACACAGTTCGTGTTTTATATTGTTAAAGTGAAAGACATTTTTGAAAATAGGTGATGCATGTGTTTGGTTTCAAATTATATTTTATGCAGCCAACACTTACTTGAGAAATATAAAGTTTAAAAGGGTATCGTTTTTGTTCGATTTTCATCCGACTATAAGTTTTCAAAATATTCTCGACTATTGTCTCCATCATTTAGACGCATGCCTTTTTCAACATATCGAAGCGGTTTGATGATCAGGACTCATTTCCATTGTTTACTTTATTTATTTCCCGGGCGACAATTGATGGTTGCATCAATGTTTTCTTGTACTAATTGTTAGGCCATTATTTATACACTGAACTGTCTACGGATTTTTCCAGTTTTTGTTTCCCGATCATGACAAGGAGCACACGGCGGGTGTGACCGGTCGGCAGGGGATGCACTCCTCCATGGCATCTGATCCCACCTCTAAATTTGGAGGTCCGTGTTTGCTCTGCTCCAAATTTGTTTCGTTTCATTGGACTTTCGAGATTGAATACTGTTCGCTATCTTCATGTCTCATTTAATAGCCAAAGCGTGCGCCTGTCCACTTCTCGAAAGAGAAAAGTACCTTGGCTGCTAGGGTCCCTGGTTACACCCTATTATAAGTTACAGTAACTTCGATTTATTGTTTATAGCCAAGTCGGCAATATTTCAGCCTTATTTCGACGAAACAATTAACGTTCCGTGGCCGGTTTTGAAAGTTTTTTCGGGGTTTGACCGTTTCTCTGGCGTCCCCCAGTGAGCCTACTCTTTCGAAAACCAGAAAAACGATCTTTTACGTGGGGTTGTAATCCTTGGCACGGGGCACCATTTAACGTCCCATCCGACGGACTTAAAATATAAAAATATGTGAACACGGTTTAAAAAAGGTATTAACAGTGATTTGTTAAATTAGCAAAGGGTAAAAGTGGTGTTTTCTTTTGTGGTGTTAATATGTCTTACTGAATACAAAAGGTAGATCTACATTTCATATGAAAATAAACTTTACAAATATCGAAGATCCAAAGGGGTTTGTCAAGATCAATATGTATCCTTTTTTACCACCCCTACCTATAAAATATACACAAACTGTATTTTATAGGATAAGAATAAAATTGTGACGAGCCCCTGTGACCATGTGGTTATAACTTCATCGTATATCCATACTGGAGCTATGCAATGTTGTATCTTGTCTACATCAAACAAAAACAAAACAGGTTTACAATTCAAAATGAAAAAAAAAAAACTTACAAGCATCAAGAATCAGACTGAAGAGCAAAAGTCGAATTATCTTTAGCATTTCTTAACATTCCGGTCATAGCAATTATCTATGACGTCACATTCTACGTCATTTTAATATTATTATATCCCGATCCCGATGTTATTTTTGGGCCTCAAATTTATGCAAAAAAAGTAAAATGAAATTTATTTATTTTACAACACGACATACAACTGAAATTTCAGCAGAAAAAAAATGAAATCAACTTGAAAAAAGAAGTTGAAAAAACGTTAAGCGTTTGGGATTTTTCTTTAAAAATATTTTAAGTTTTTACTTTGTTTTTTAAATGTAGTAAGACAAGTCATCGTGTCGTTTTCCTCAAAGTTTTTTACTCTGAATCGACATAACCGTTTTGCCGGGTTTTTTTTTTTTGCTGTGTGCCTGAATTGTCACACCTGTCGCCTGTGGCAGTCGCTGCTTGGAAAACCGACATGTGCAGTCTGAATGGCAAAAAATGTTCCGTGAGATCGGAGGATTTACTCAGAAGAATACTTTCAGGAAAGGGCCCTGAGGTATTTCTTCACGCAAATATAGTATCGGAAACGTCAGATTGTGTTCGCCAGACGAGCAAGGTGTAATCAGGGGAATAGCAAGCCGGCCATTGTCATTAACTTCTATAGTGAAGTTTTGTCGGAGCGTGGCTTTCTTTTCTCTCGGATACTTCTGATCATTCTATTAACGTTTTGCAGGAATGCTTAAGAAATTAGAACAGTTTGTTTTTCATTATATTTATAATTCTCATTGAAAGAACTGGATCGTGTATCAAGTATTTTTTGGCGCGTGTTTGAAATACTGAGAGACGTCAACAGAAATTAAGAAATTGTATAAAATACTACTGTTTAGTACAATCTATCATTAACAACTAACGCCACTTCTTCCAAAAGCATGAATATAAAAAAAGAAAGCATAAATCGCATAGCAATCTAAAAAAATTATGCAGCGCACTGTATAACCCTTAACATATACTTCCGCGAAATAATTAAACACATTTCATTTTTTGTCAAGAATAAACTCATTGACTTTTTTTCAGTGATAAATTCCATTTGAACTGTAATACGGATGTTATAAATTGTCTGCTTAAACCGATGAATTAAGAAAAAAAATATCTTTTTCTCAACGGAATACTTCTACCGAATGCTTTGCATTCACAAAGTTCTAACATTCTATCAAGTTATTTCAGTTTGATTAAGATGTACCTATACATTGTATAAACAGTGTACCAACTGATTAAAGACACATCTATTGTATTTATTTCTATTATTTACATAACAAATATTTCCTGGTCAAACAAGTGAGATATTTTTATCATTCAAATATTTTATTTGAAGAAAAGTACACTTAAATCTATTTAATCCTAAGTAAACACAGTAAGTTACATGTTAACGTGAACAATTTTTATCATCAGAAACACAGATCTAAACAAATTCGATTGTCGCCTGGAATCATTTCTAGTGTGTGACCAATTTGTAAGGTCGGCACCATGAAACATTTCTAACGTCAGTTTTTCCTTTTAATTTCTCAATGACGATCATAATGATACGAAGAGATTGTCAGCAGACGACAACTTATCCTTTATATCATTAGCGCGTTCGATGCGGCAGCTGAGACACCGCCACTTCCGTGCACGGCATAACTGTACGGGCGGATGTGGGGGACCTCGGAGGCCCCTCGATATCAATAAAATGAGCAGCCTATGACAGTTAAATGATCAGCCGGAGGGTTGGGGTTTCATGCTTAAAAGTTTTATTTCTGGAATTCCAAATAAATAAACGGATATCTGTCAAGAAGCTATACTGGGACGCTGGGATTACCTTGATGCAGTGAAATTATTGCTAACAGGGGAAACATCCCAACAACGTTTTGGAAAATTCCCGGCTCTGTAATTTCTAATCTTGAAATATAAATTTCATTTATTCATTTTTTTCATTCATTCATTTTTTTGTATTCATTCTTGTTTTCATTCAACTTAATTTTTATATCGATTACAAGTTATACATCCAAGTTATACAGAGATATATATACATTTAAGTATGCAATATATCCAAAGATATTTTTCCTGCAAAACTAAAACTAATATGCAGATAGCTACTTTTATAACGGAAAATGGATAAAGGCTTAATTTCGTTGTAATCCTAATTAAACATGTGCCTGAAATGACATGTATATATAGTAGATGATGACGGCGTCCATCTACTTGCCACCCTCCTTATCTTGTCAACTGGACGAGCTCCAGAAATAACAGACCCTCATATACTGATTAGAAACAAATTAATGTCAATTTCACACGACCCAAATGAAGAAATGATACTGTCGGAACCAATATTGCTATCTACAGAAGAAATTTGTCCAGGGTTCAGGACATTCATCATGCAATCAATTACCCCTGACGCGATTTTCAGCAAACGCCTGCCAGGGAAAAAAGTTTTATCAAAGTCCTATCAATTGTATCTCTAGTATCGGAGGGGAATAAATTCCGATTTGTCAAATCAGACATGACCGGCGACGAACGGAAGGCAGGTCCCCGGACTGGGTATAGGGGAGGTGTTATTAATTAGGAGACGCTTAGTGATGAAGGTTATGAAACAGATGTGAATTACATGTACACTTTTTTTTAAAAGTTTGACACAAACTGATTTCAGTTGTATATTTTTCAAAATATTTTCAGATTACTGATGATATTCGCTTAGTGATAATGGTTATAAAACAGATGTGAATTACATGTACATTTTTTTAGTTAAATTTTGCTGCAGAAACTGATATTTTGCATCATTATGTATGTTTTTCAAAATATATTAGGATTAGATAAATGTAGTTATACCATGACACATTGCTGCATCCCTCCCCCTCCTCTCACCAAAAGGAATCAACATCGGACACAGTCCAAATTAACATCAAAGCATGGCGAAAACTTTTTCATTATTATTAATACTGGATCAAATTCATAACATTTTACTTTTTTTTTCATTCACGAGTACCTTGTGCAGCATAACATATACACAAGTGTACATATATTTGTTTTCAGTAGCGCATTTTATCTTTTTCCATTAAATAATTTTATTCCGGTGTGAAAAACTTTGCAATTATTTCTAAATTTTATTCACTATGACAAGGAAGAAAAATATGATACCTCAGTATGAGATTCTAGCTAAACATCCCCAAAACTATTTTCTTTTGAAAGGTCTTTTTAAAAAAAATTGTCTTAGTCTTAAACATTAAAGAAACCTATATATTTTATCATTATTAAAAAGTCTTGAAAATTTAATATCTTTTTAATAAAGTGCAGGATGAAAACTCATAAAGGATATAGATACTGTGTGTTTCCCTCAAACAATATTCTCCGAAGATTTTAAAGCAGTTAAAAGGCTGTACTCGATTCGAAAATAAAGGAAGGGTTTCGATAAACAATTGTCCTTATTAGTTTCGTTAGCCATTTTTCCTTGTTGCTGAAGAAAATACCCCGTCAAGAGAGGGCATTACAGCTCCATTAAATCATCATTTGCAGATAGAACATTCCAATTTATAGATTTGAACAAGAGCTCGCCGTTCGTTGTTTTACGGTCTTGGGGTTCGTTCAAAATCTAGAAACGTGGCTTTCCATTGATTTCGGACCAAAAGCGGAAAAATGTAGATTAATTTCAAGTCGTCCTAAGTTAGACACGTGTTGTTTCGAGATGGATGTTTTTAAGTCCGTGTTTCGTTTCCTCATTATGAAGGACGATTACTTTTAAATTGAATGTTGTGTTATCATGTTGGACATCAGTCGTTTTGACAACAAATATAGAATTATCACAGGGTTGTTTATAGAATTTAACCTCATTTAATATCTTGTATATAAGTGTGTTTTCTGTAAAGTAAAAATACATTTTTTTAAAAATGTATGTCCATATGTTTTGGTTATATATGTATACAACCAGATTTTCTATCTTTGATTTCAATTCTTAAATACAAATAGGAAATTATATCTGTACAAGATAACAAAGAGATCATTTAGTCTATACCCCCCCCCCCCCCACTTGCCCCAATAAAAACCACACAACCTCTAATGTATTTCTATTGTCAAGAAACATTGAAAGTCTCGTGTACGAAAAGCTTAGGACAAGAGGAGAACTGAGTTATAAAAAAAAAAACTCATGTCTATGAAAATAACCAATAACATAGAAATATCGGAATTAAAAGCAACATGAGTCATATTTTTGAGAATTTTATTTTATTTTGCAAAACTATGTGTTATAATAGTAAATCTGCGTCATATACAGGATGAAAAAAAACGTACTTTTGCTTCTAAATGTTTGAAAATGCAAAAATGACTAAAAGAACTTTCAGAAGTTCGTCTTCTCAATTAAAATAAAATTTGCAATTTAGCCTAAAAAATTTCTGATACGAAAATTACACTTTGAAGTATTGATTACACTAGTGTAATTTCTATTACAGCTTGAAGTATCGATTACACTAGTGTGATTTCTATTACAGCTTGAAGTATCGATTACACTAGTGTAATTTCTATTATAGCTTGAAGTATCGAGTACACTAGTGTAACTTCTATTACTATGAAAATAGCTGGTTACCATTTTTTTTAATCATTTATTTATTTATTGATCAGAATTTTTACAAAATAATTTATAAACATACACATTTTTGAAGCAAAAAACAAAAAACCAAAAAAAAAAAAATATAGATATAATGATAATAACATAACAATTGTAAAATAACAAATCGGAATGCCAAGTTTTAGATATAATTACAACAAAACTATTCCCAGGGATATATACTGAATTGGTTAAATACACGTAGAACTCTTGGTTTCACAAGAAACAAATTAAGAATAAACAACATTATGTACATGTAGAAAGAAATGAGAGCTCTACAAAGAATTTTTAATTTTTCTTATGCAAAAGTATGCTTCAACAAATAATTTATAATCTACCTTTCTTTTTCAAAGCTTTGATTTTTTTTTATACATACTCTGATTAGGTTAAGTTGAAAAAGTATATGAAAACTGTTATATACATTACTTTTTTCAAACTGTGTAATATAGTTGGATTAGAAAAGAATTTGATGACAG